CACACACACACTCATTTTGGATGATGTGAATGGAGTTGGCTACATTTTGACATACCATTCAAATAGACTTACTCATCCAACACAGAATTACAGACTTTTAGAGCAAGACACAGCTGCAAAGGTGGTCAGCTTCCTCATTTTGAGTGTGAGAAACGGGTTTAAACGGCAAAGAGTTCCAGCTACATTCAGCTCCTTAGGACCAGAACCTTGCCCAGAATTCCAGGTTTTTGGCTTCTGATTTCACTGCTTCACACTGCTAGGAAAAAAAAATCCAGGAGCCCCTTTACCATTAGAGAGAGAGCAGGAAGACCCCTCCATCCACTGCCCCAGTCTGTCTGGGTCAGAAGAATCCAGGACCAGAAGATGCAGGTGAAAGAGAGACTTCAGGCTTTTTTTAATGCCAGAGATGAAAGGAGATGCGTTTTTAAATACCAGAGAAAAGAGGGAACTCTTGGTGTTTTAAACCAAGAGGTCTAACATCCTTGCTGTGTCTTTTCTCCTGATTGTCTCATAACTCTGCCGGAGTCTTTGTGACCAAAAGGATGACCTCAGTTTGGGGGACCCCGGCCTGGGATCCAAGATTTTGAAGAATTATTCCCAGAGTTGCCCTCTGACTTTGTTCAGTCTTTGGGAATTCCCTTAACCTTCTTGTGACCTGATCCCCTCTATGAAGGCAGGTAATACTACTTGCCTTAGAACAATACCTTTTTAAAAAGTCTATGAGATTCCCAGGTGGGAGCTGTGTGTTTTTGTCTAGAGGGAAAAATGATAGTTTGCCCCCTCAGCAACATCTAGATGATTATCTGAGATCAACCACATAATTAAGTTTATTTTTATGTGTGTTCAGTACTTTTCAGCTGAACAAAATGTTATTACCCCAAGAATGTTTCACCTTTAACTGTTTTATCTTAGGACATTATAGATCATGTCTCACAGGAAAAACTGCCCTTGGAGAAGGAGATTTGAAATTATAGACATCTCCTCGGCACATGGTTTTGATATGTACCTGGCACGTCTCTCTCCTCTGTGTGCATATGATGGAAGGTACAACGTATCTTCCTGGCCCCTGCCGTGTAGTCCCTCGAGTGAGTTAGGACGATGTTAGCATATATACAAGTCAACATGCCAGTGCTGATGCCTGTAGATTCTCCACCTCAGTTCTGGTCTCACCAATGAGCGTTTTGCTTGGATTTTAACTACCTGCTGGGTCTCCACTTGAGTATTCGTCAGCCGACGGCATCTCAAAATGTCCTGAGCAGGACTCGGTATTTCCCTCCCTTTCCCCATACCAAGTGGCCCTCTGCCCCAGGTGTTCACCCAAGCTTGACACTCATTCTAGACCATTCCTTTTCTCTCACTTGGCATTTCCAATCAGTCGACAAGTCTGATCAATATATCTGAAGTCTCTCCCTTCTTCTTCCCACATCACCATCCTTGCTCCATCCCTAATCGTCTCATATTTGAACTACTGCTAATAACTGGTCCAACAAATATTTGGTAAGGACATTCTGGAGGCCAGGCATTATTCTAGGAAGTGGGGATACAATTGGCAAACAAAATATATAAAGACCCCTGGCCCTGAAGAGTTTATACATTAGTGGGGGTAGGGAAAAGGCAGATAATAAGAGCACGATGGGTAAATTATATAGGAAATTAAGAAAACGATAATTCCAATGGAAAAAAGTAGAGACGGAGTGTTGGAAAGGAGGGAGCGGAGAGGCTGCAGTTGGCCATTTTAAGCAGGGTGAGTGGAGCAAGCCTCTTTGAGAAGATAACACTTGAGCAGAGACATGAAGGAGGCAAGCCACGTGATGACCTGGTGGGGGTGGGGAGCATTGCAGGACAAGGGGAGGGAGCCTAACCTGGAGAGGGGCTGGCATGTTCAGGAGGCAGCCAGGGGGTCAGCACAGCTGGAGCTGAGGAAGACAGGGGATGTGGTCAGAAATCAGGTCAGAGTCGGGGCGCCTGGGTGGCTCAGTCGGTTAAACGTCCGACTTTTGCTTAGGTCACGATCTCGCGGTTCGTGGGTTCAAGCCCCGTGTCGGGCTCTGTGCTGACAGCCAGCTCAGAGCCTGGAGCCTGTTTCAGAGTCTGTGTCTCCCTCTCTCTCTGACCCTCCCCTGCTCACGCTCTCTCTCTCTCTCTCCTAGAAATAAATAAAAATATTAAAAAAAAAAAAGAAATCAGGTCAGAGTCTGTTACCCCCACTTCAGGTGGTTCACAGTGGGCTCAGGAGTGCTTGCTAGGATCTGAGCAGAGGAACGGTGGGATCGGATGTTATGTGTTAAGAGGATCATTTCGGCTGCCACACTGGGAACAGACTTAGGGCAACCAGGAGAGGAAACAGAAACCAGTTGGGAGATGCTGGTGGTGGGACAGGCGGGAGCAGCGGAGGTGGTAAGAAAAGGCAGATTCTGGAAATACTTTGAAATAAACCCAGAAGAATTTCTGGAAGGGCAGCAAGGACGGCTTGGTCGTGAAGGAAGTAGCGGGGTCAGGGAGAGGGAGATAGGCGACCTGGGTGGCAGACCCACCCCTGCATCTCCCTGCCCAGCACCCCCTCCTCAAAGTCCATCCTCTGGCCCAGAGCAAAGCTTTCCAGGCTGCAAACCTGATCCTGTCCCTCCTCCCTTCAAATCTCTGGCAGCTCTCTTTATCTACAGCCCCCTTCATTTACTACAGGAGGTCTTTTGTGATATGGCCGTCTTTATCCTCCAACTTCATTTCCTGCGGCCCTAGCTTATAACAGTTGCAAACCGCCGGCAGGAGCCTGCCCGCACCACGCTAGATCGTGGCGCTGGGTCTTCGATCAGGCGTTTCATGTTTTCTTACTTTGCTCCCAAAACCCCCTTCTCCGCTATTTGCCTGATCGATGGGAACTCTATTTCCAGTCATACCTCAGACATCATCTCTTCTAGAAGGTGGGGTGAGTATACCCATGGTTTCCTGTGCACGCCGCCCCATGACGATCGTCAGGTCAGGCTGAACTGTCTCTCGTACCTGAACATAGGCTCCTCCCTCCCCTCCACAAACACTTAGCACGTTACCAGGCACATAAAGTAAAACCGGTCCAGGGAGTGTTTGCTGCTCTGACTGCAAAGCTCAGAGACTAGGTCTGCATAAATCTAACTAGAGTCAAATTTCTTCCCCGTCCCTCGGTCTCCACTGGAAACCAAGAGGTCAGATGGAGTGAGTATCACCCAGCTCATGGCTCTCTGCCTCAGTTCAGGGTCTCTCGTCACTTTAGCCAACGGGCTCCAAGGTGTCCCGCCAGGGCCCCGGACATTCTGCAGTGAGTCACATAACATTTTACAGTATCTTCTCCTGAACATAAGAAAACAAGACCACAAAGGGCAATTTCCTCTCGGCAGTACTGGAGGCCGCCCTGTGCTGGGTATGGCGGGGACAGCCCCAGCCCAGGGCGGGCAGCAAAGGGACACCTCATCACAGCTGACAGAGGCCCAGGTAGCCTCTGTGGACAAAGCCTTGGCGAGGCAGACGGGGCCATTTTGCAAGCTTTCGATTCAAAGAAGATCGGGAACAGAATAAAAAGAGGTTCGGGACACAAATGCTAAGCAGAACAGAGCAGCTGTAGGAAGCTTCAAGCTGGGCCTTTCGGGACGGGGAAAAACGGAACAAGAACCCCAACAAGGCATTCCCCCCCCACAGTGGAATAAAGACGCCCACGCCGTACTACGCTGTCTGTGCAACTCTCAGCATGGGGGCTCCGGGACCCCAGCCAGGCACACGGGGCCACGGCCCGGGCAGCTGGACGGTGCCAAGCCCATGTGCCGGGAGACAATGGTGCCTCGCCTGTTACCCAGACAGCCCGGCAAATGTGCCTGGGAGCGCTGGGCTTCCGAGCGGCTCCATCAGTGGCAGCTTGGCAACCTCACGTTCATCGGAGGGATGGATGGGTGGGGGTCCGGCGGGGGGGAAGTGAGGGGAGGGGTTGGCAGGCGCGGTGGGGTTGGCAGGCGCGGTGGGCTTGGGGCTTTCAAGAATCTCAAGATTCTCACGAGAGTATCTCCCGTGACTCTCTAAGTCTTCGGTAAATTACCTTTTATTAGCTTTGTTAAGCCTCAGCGGCCTGCAATTGTCCCCTCAAAACTCAGCCATCTGCTCCCCTCCTGTCTGTAATTCTGACCACACACGCAGAAAAAGAGTTTAATTTCGGCAGAAGATTATTCTTTCCTTCCAAAGGAAAAAAAAATGGGAAGGGAAATGGAGAGGGGGAATGAATAAAGACTGGAAGCTTCAGATGGAGGGACATAAAAAGGTGAGCATTTCTGAAACAGAACCCCACCATACACGCTATCGAGTTCTTGGTGACTGGAGTCGGGACCGTAAGCACCCTACTCAGAACACTGTTGAGGGCGGCCAGGTGGCTCAGTTTGTGACTTCAGCTCAGGTCACGATCTCCAGGTTTATGCTGATGGCTCAGAGCCTGGAGCCTGCTTCAGACTCTGTGTCCCCTCTCTCTCTGTCCTTCTCCTGCACCCACTCTGTCTCTCTCCAAAATAAATAAACATAAAAAAATTTAAAAAAGAACACTGTTGAATGATAAGTAAACATGTATGGAGATACATTTAAATACAAAGGGCTGAGCTAGGTGCTGTGAAAGAGGGGAAAAAAAGACTCCCTGCAGTCAAAAAAGACGGCAAATTTAAATCAAAACGGAAAGGAGAAATCGGCTCAGGGAATGCTGCAACACAGATGGTATAGCTAGAAGTTTCTTATCTGCTGAGAAGAGGGTTCAGGCGCTGTGAGCAGGGACCTTTCAACAAAGGGAAAGGAAATTTAGGGAGATGGAAAATTCCAACAGAAGCATCAAGGTTATCTTCCTTCCCAAACAGAAATCCTTTCCACAGCATACAACTGCTTTCCAGATATTTTCCATAACAAGTATCCATTACCTCACACATTGACCTCTTGTATTTTATTTATTTTTCTCAACAGAGAGTTGAGATCTGGCTTTCTTTAACTTCCTTCCTTTCCAGACAGAAGAAAGTTTTGTCCAGTTCCTCTTCAAACTTGAAGACAGCCACCGGCAGCCCTGCGATCCTCTCCTCTGCAGACAACCATCCTTCCCTCTTCTCGCACAGTCCCTGGCCGCATCCTGGTCAGGGAATGTTCCCGCCCGAGGCGGTGCCCAGTCCTCCACCCAGCACTCCAGGTGTATTCCAGCCAAAGATCCTGTGACCTTACGCGATCATTCCCTGAACTTGATTTGCTATTCATACAGCCCAGTGTTGCCCCAGGTCTCAGCTGCCACACTGCGTTGTAAGAAGGTAGCAAACGTGGGATCGACCAAAAAACTCTTTTGTCTTTTCCACCCAAACTTGCCAGGTGTTTGTCTCTCCCACCCAAACTAGGCCAGGTGTCCCCTGTTGAACTGGTTGCCAAGGATGGGTGATTCTGATGAAGGGAGGGGACCGGGTAATATGGCGGTTCAGGGAACGCTGAGTGAGTAGCTAGCTACCTGATAGCAAAATGGACTTTGAGGCTATAGCAATTCAACAGATTTATACCAGCACAAATAGAGCCAAACAGACCTGAGAAACAGAGCCATGGAAATTAAGTACTTGTTGAAGATCTCCTTTCTTTTTTTTTGTTTTTTAAAGTTTTTTTTAATGTTTATTATTATTGAGACAGAGAGAAACACAGCATGAGTGGGGGAGGAGCAGAGAGAGAGGGAGACACAGAATCCGAAACAGGCTCCAGGCTCTGAGTTGTCAGCACAGAGCCTGACGTGGGGCTCGAACCCATGAACCGTGTGATCATGACCTGAGCCGAAGTCGGATGCTCAGCCAACTGAGCCACCCAGGCACCCCTAAAGATCTCTTTTCAAATAAGTGGGGCAGGTATGGACTTTTCAACATGTGGTATTAGAAAACGGGGCTATCCATTTGTCTGAAATGATTCGATGCATTTCTACCTTTCTTTCTTTTTTTTTTTTTTTAAATATTTTTATTTATTTCTAGGAGAGAGAGAGACAGCGTAAGCAGGGTAGCGTCAGAGAGAGAGGGAGACACAGACTCTGAAATAGGCTCCAGGCTCTGAGCTGGCAGTCAGCACAGAGCCTGATGTGGGGCTCGAACCCACAAACCGCGAGATCATGGCCTAAGCGAAAGTTGGACGTTTATCCGACTAAGCCACCCAGGCGCCCCATATCCAAACTAATTTCAGATATATTAAATACCAAGATATTATATTGTATAAATATAAGTATTATGTTACATAAATATTATATGCATATGAAAAAAGAGTTTTTAATTAAGGGGAAATCTTCAGCCCAGCATGTTATTTAAAATGTTCTATACAGAAGAAGGCGTTAGTTTACCTAGTCGTTCAGTGATCCAGCCTCCCTGGTACTCCCCAAGGTGGATAATGGGGCCTGGGGACTGTGACAAGGCTGGGCTGTAAAAAGTCAGGATAATTTTCTTAGGAGATAAAAGTAGGAAGCATTCTGCAAAGTAGTATAGATATACAAAGTATTATTATTGTTTTTACTGCTTTTTTACGAAGTTTATTTTGAGCACATGAGAGAGGATGAGTGGGAGGAGCAGAGAGAGAGGGAGAGAGAATTGCAAGCAGGTGCCACACCATCAGTGAGGAGCCCAACGCAGGGCTCAACCTACCAACCCATAAGATCATGACCGGAGCCGAATTCAAGTGTCGGATGGACGCTTAACCAAATGAGCCACCCAGGGGCCCCTACAAAGTATTATTTCTATATAAACTTTTCAGGTTGCAAGTCTGTTTCTAAATGTGCTACTAAGAATGTCTACACATATATGTAAATATAAAGATATGACCTGCATATATATACATATATTAAATAATACATACATATAACATTATATATATGGCAGAAAAGTGTCAGAGACCTCTAAGACCCCTGTGCCATATCACATTTACAAATAACACTCACTTTCTCAAAACTCTATCCAAATGTTTCTTAGGAGGCTCAGAGCAGCTGGTGGACTATGGAGAAGTCTTAGAGATAGATATACGAACTGGATGCAGAAGATGGAAAGCCCGTGCTCCTGAGAAGAGGAAGGGAGGATTCTAGCATGAGGGAGGAGCTCTAAGAAAGGTAACTGAATGAATAAATGATTGAATAAACTAATGAATGAGCCTCGAAGCAGGTAAGGACCCACTGCCAGGCCTTGAGAAAACACAGACATCATGGCCTCCATCTCACAGGCATGTGACAAGTGAACACTGGGCTCTATTTATTATCTAGTTCACTTTTCTATCTGTCAGGCTGTCACCTATGACAATACACTCTGTGCCAGCTGCAACTCACCTAGAGAGAAGTCAGAAGACTCACACTTAAAATGATCCTAATTTCAAACACAGAGGCAATTGCTGGTGAGACTCGTAAATTGAACAAAGAAAACATCGTGGGATATAATTACATAAATAACTTTATGTAGACTCCTATTGTCCCATGATGACCCTGCATCTGGAACAAAAACTTGACTCCCCCTCTGACTTGTTCTGTCAGAGGAAGACACTGGATGACACGTAGCGTGACAAGAATTTAATGTGTCTAGCTCCGGGTAATAAATGCCATATTTGAATTAACATTACACCTTGCCTGCCCTGCTACTATGAGCTGGCTGGGTGCTGGAGCATGGCATGAAGAGGCCTCCTCTTGTGTTCCTCCTGGGGATGGGCTCTCCCGTGGCCCCATGCCCCAGCCTGCCAACCACGGTCCAGGCAGGGAGAGGGCAAGGCATACTGGAAGGTTCTTGCTCAATTGATACTGATCTTCGAGGGCTCACCCTCTCTGCACTTACAGATATTTGAAACTGAGTCTCTCATGAGCCATTTTGCCTTCTAGCCAGGGGGAACATATTTCACACTCAAAACAGCCCTATCGAAGCGACCGTCACTCATCTCCTTTAGATAGGACTCAGAGCAATGAATTACTCTCTCCAACACTCCCCCCCCCCACAACCTTACATGTTCTTTCTGATGTCCCTCTTGACCTTTTTGTACCCTGATTGGAGGGAATTGCCCTTGGGTGAGAAGCTCAAGACTTGTATAATCAGTTTCCAGATACTTCCTTTAAGAAACAGATGCTTCTGTGTCTCACAACTAATTTTGGTATTGGATACTTTCCTTAGGGCCTTGCTTAAATATTTCAGTTTAACTTATTTCTATATTAGTTATTAGTTGGTCCAATGTAGTTTTTTGTCTCAAATCGATGGCTCTGATTCTATGGCTAACTGGAGACTGGGAAAATTGATTTATTAATCTTAATATGAACATATAAAAAGTCACAGGGCAAGAACTGGGAAACAATCGTCTGGGTACTGTGCTTTGTGTGGTAGCCAGCCTCCAAAATGGCCCCGAGGGATCCCTGCTTCCTGGTGTCACATTTTCTGGGTTGTCACCCTATCCGTGCTGTGTCAGAGTTGGTTGAATAGGGAGAAGAGATGGAATGTTATATCTGAGGTTAGGTTATAAAATACTTTGGCTTCTGTCTTTCTGGTTTTCTTCCTCATGTAGATATTCCCTCTGACAGATGCCATGTTGTGAGTCGTCTCATAGGGTCCTGCATTAGAAGGGAACGGAAGCCTCTTACCAACCAACAGCTGTGGGATTGAACTTGGAAGTGGATCTTCCAGCCCCTGTGAGGCCTCCGAAGACTGCAGCCCTAGCATATAGCTTGAGGGAAACTTAATAAGAGATCTCAACCAGCACTGTCTAGCTAAGAATCTTGTCCCTCAGAAACTATGAGTGACAAGGTTTGCTGTTTTTACACTTGCTGTTTTTACACTCGTGGGTTTTTTTGTTTTTTTTTTAATAACTTCTCCTTTCATCCTTCCTGAGCTATTAAGCTGCTAAGTTTTAGGGATAGTTGGACTAACAGTTTTTTACATTTGCAAAATATTTTCACACAGACTATTTACCAACATAACTAGATTTCTCTTTATAGTCTAAGTCAATCATAAAAATAAAACACAAATTAGAGGATTCTTCATTTTGTCAAAATATTTACTTCAGAGTTTTTTTTTTTTAAACAAGCAAGCTAATTAGGTATAACTAAAATATTTAATCTATAAAGTTCAATTTCCAAGTTTTCAGAAGTATTTGCATTGTATAAAAAAGATCCATCTGTAAAATCAGAGCTGAGGGATTCAGACAGGACTCTGAAATGTTGTCTGGATTATCATTGTTCTGGAGAGCTCTACGCCCAATAGTCCCACACACATCCCATCTCTTTATTGTTTCACAATCTCTAGAAAAGGAAATGGGGACAGAGTGAGGAGCTATGAGGAAAAGAAGCAACACTCTGTTGTCTTTGCAGTAGTAAAGTCCTTCATGAGTAACTAAATTGTTTCATGTTCAAAGTGCTCTTTGCGCTTCCTATTTTCATTATGGTCTCCTGCGAAAAGTGAAATGAACGGCATTTCACATTGGGAGAACTGAAGCAGGGACCAGAGAAGAGGCTTTCAAGAGATGGTGTAACTAATACGGAAAGGGAGAAAGATGGCTGACCTCAGCCTCACCCAAAGGACTACGGCTTGATTTTGTTCTGAGCACAGGGGCCTGAGACCTGGATAATGTATTTGACTCTCCATAGTTGTAAACAAGTTTCATATTTTATCAATACTAAATTTAGCTGCTGGAAATATCAGTCCTAAAAAACGTATGTGTGGGGGGCACTTGGGTGGCTCAGTTGGTTAAGGGTCTGACTATGGCTCAGGTCATAATCTCATGTTCTGTGGGTCCAAGTCCCACATCAGGCTCTGTGCTGACAGCTCAGAGCCTGGAGCCTGCTTCAGATTCTGTCTCTCTCTCTCTCTCTCTGTCCCTCCCCCGCTTCTGCACGTGTTCTCTCTCTCTCACAAATACATACATACTTCTAAGAATTAAAAAAAAATGTGTGAGGGGACGGGGGCTGACTTTAGAATATACTACTTCATCAGTAGCAAAGAGACAGATACTAGGTGCTATGTAGGAATCTAACAGGGCTCATTAAACCAAAAATATGTTCTAGAAGCAATTCTTGGAGTAGACAGAAGGAATGCACAAGAGTTCCCCTTCCACTTGCTACCTATTCTTTGCTCATTCTGTTCCTTCTGCCTAGAACACTTGTCCATATCCCTGTTGCTTATCTGCTCTTCAGGTCTCAGGAAGAACACCCTTCCTCCAGGAGATGTTCCCCCACTGCTCTAGACTGGATTACATGCTTCTCCCATGTGCTTGGTTGTGCTGGACACTTCCATGGTCAGGGAAATTACCACACTAAATTAGGCCAAACTCTAATTACTAGGTCAGGGGCCATGTCTGCCATTGCTCATTACTGCATAGCAGGGGCCTAAGCTGGTGCCTGGTACATAGTAGGTCTTTAATAAATATCTGCTCAAAAGTAACTAGTTTCCAGTAAATACCATCAGGGAAATGATCCCCCTGAAATGGTATGGGTAATTATCTTGTTGCCTCTATATATACTATCAGGAAATCCATTCCAGAATTCATGGAACTGAAAGGCTCAAGACCAAATTACAATACTAAATACATGGTTTATGGAATCAATTTAAAATGCACAGTGAGAAGCAGGGGAAACAGAAGAGTTGGTTAACAGACTTAGGATGAAGCACAAGCCTGGACCACATGACCTGAACCCTGGGTCCCAAAATATTTGAAGACCTCTCTCTCTCCCCCCTACCTCTGTCTTCCATTCCTCTTCCCCTCTCCATTCCCCTCTCCATTCTGCCATAGGAGCACTCCCTGCTGACCAGAGGTGAGGTTGGAGCTAAAGGGACCCATAGGTAGAAGGCCCGTGGGGTCCACCCACACTTGTTATATCAGACAGTTGCAGGACAATTACCCCAGGCCACCGTGATCTGCTGAGCAGCCGTGGCTTTGGCCTGCATATGCCGGGCGGCAGATAGGTAGATGGAAGCAGAATGGGTGTCACCAATGACTGCATGCATCAAAACTTCATGAGCACTGATTGCCTACTGTGCCTCATGTATGTTTAGAAGCTCTCGAATACTGGTGCCTCTTGGGCCTTCCACCCCTTATCATCTACGTGCATCATACGCACATGCTCAACTCTACGTGTCTGACCTGTCTCACAGAAATCTATTCTCTCACGTTTCTGAAGTCTGAGGTCAAGATCTCAGCATGGATGGTTCCTTCTGTGGGCTCTGAGGGAGAATTTGGTCCACACTAGGAGAATTTTCTCCTAGCTTCTGGGGGTTGCTGGCAATCCCGGCTGTTCCTTGGCTTGTAGGCACATTAATCCCTGTCTCTGTCTTCACGTGGCCTTTTATTCTGTCTCCCATATTTCACATATTTCATGTGGCTTTCTCATTAGAATAGCAGCCACTGGAGTTAGAGCCACCCTAATCTAGCAGGATCTTATCTTGACTCACTGTATCTGCAAATACCCTGTTTTCAAAAAAGGTCACATTTACAAGGACTGGGTGTACAGGCATTTTGGGGGTGGGCACTATTCAACCCAGTCGAATACCTAACAGACCTTACGGGTCTCATCCGTCCTAGGTATCTGCTTACCTTTCACAGGAGAGCTGAATGTCCTCTAATAATAAACAAACACACCCTCTACCTGGAAACAAAACAAATCTATTGTACATGGTGCTTCTGCTTCCCAGAAGGCATCTCCTGCTGATTCCTGACAGCCAAGGCATAAGCTCAGGGCCTTCTGTTTCCTCTGAGAGCCAGCTCTCAGTGCACAGTGCCGGTGTGAGGCGCAGGGCTCACTTCCACAAGGCTGCTCTGTCCCTGGGAGCCTTCCTTGGCTGTGTCTGTGCCTGCGGGCCTCAACTGCAGTGAGGGGCACCGGCCTGCTGCATGGGGGCGAGGGCAGGGAGGGATCGGTGCATCTCAGCTTTCCAGAGCTCATGGCATCTCGGGTACAGGCCGGGTACTCCGGGGCCTGAGTTGCTCCTGGTTAAGACCTGAGCAGGGGCTTCAGACCTCTCATGGGAGGCAGGGAAAATTCTCTCAGTGTGGTATTCTGCCTGCGGAAAATGAATACTGCCCAACATTTGTCAGCGCCCACTCCGGTTAGAATAGGAAAAAAGCTTATTTCTGGATGTCTGAAAATAG